TCTTTGCACTGAACATACATTAATCCTTCTGCTTGATGAGGATATTTGCCTTGGGAAGAAAAGATCTGACTTCATTAACAACGACAGCGATGCAGTTCATCTGTCATAGCAACCCTGACATAGTTACTTTGGTGTGTTTGGATGTGCTGGGTAGTGGAAGAGATTTTCTGTGTTTGCAGCTGCTGTTGATTTCCCCCACCCATAAAAAAAAAATACACTATGAGTTAAGAAATTTCTTAATCCCTAACATAGCATCCTTTTCTCTCTTGTTGCGTTGATGCAATTTGTAGGGCCACCTTCTGCTTCTCCCTTAAGAAAAATCAGAGTTTCTATTTCATACTGCTAACTGTATCCTCCCCATCTCATACTCTCCCCACCTGTATAACCTGAAAAGACCTTAGATAGTTAAATACAGAGGAGCAGTGCTCTTTGCTGTTGTTACCTGGTTGCCTGAAACTCCAAGCATGCAAAAGCTCCTGTTGTTTGTTGCCCAAAAAACTCATCTTCAGAGTAGAAGCCTGTAATGCAGCCCAATAGCTCAAAACTTTCTTCTTTGATGCTCTTCACACCTTCAGTACTTTTACATTACTCCTTCTCTTGGCTTTAATTGATAATCCCTGTGCCCTCTACACAAAAGCCAGCAAATACAACAGCATAAAAAATACAAGAGCACAAAGAAAAAAAAAAAAAAAGGCAGCCAGACACCTACCTCTTGCAACCCTTCCAAACCAAACCACCTCCCCCCAGCCCTTTTTATATACAGCTGAGAGAGAGCTGCTTAAGTTCACCTGGGACCATAGTCAGGGTGTCAGCTGAGTTAACCCTGCTATGCCAGTCATCTCTAGGCTTTTAAGGACAGACTTGTAGCCAAGGAGCTAGTTCATGAGCATGGCATACTTAGGAACCTCCAGATTTTGAAGTTTTGCCAGAGCTTAAATGCTTTTCTTACTAATGCACTGATGTTCTCATAGTCAGTTTTTCTTTAATTTACACGCTGTCAGGCTCATACTATTTAAACTGACATGGTTAGGTTTGTAGTGGAGAGCAAGTTTTAGTAGCTTCAGAAGTTTTCGAAGGGAACTCTTCGGAAGAAAAACCGCACGAATTTTTTTCTTTTGGTCCCGCTTGAAAAGCAGAAAAATGGAGCATGTGTATTCTGCTCATGTCACACCTGTGTTAGCTGAATTTTAGCAAAGGCCTTGCTTGAACCCGCAGGGTGCAGCTCCACAGCAGCTGAAGCTGACCTAAATCAGTGCTAATTCAGTTCCCACGTCCCTGGCTGGGTCTTCCTGCTTTGTTCTTTGCGAACGCACGTCCGATTTTGGGGTTAACTGATTCAGGGAACTCGGTGTAGCTCCCCGAAGACTGAGCAAAAATAGGTTGGGATTTTGGGATGTTGGTTTAGTTCCAGGACAAGCAGAGGGGGAGATGGGAACGATAGGAGTTGGGAACCCAGGCAGAATTCATTTTTGCTTAAAAAAATACATGTGGTGGCTTTCAAGTCTTGCTCAATGTTGCTGTTACGCAGAAGAAAAAAAAACCAACTAGATTTGATTTAGGTTTGTTTTCCCTTTTCTGTTACTGTGGAAATTACACTGATGCTCCTTTGACTCACTACTATTTCAAAATAATATTAAAGTGACTAATACCTGAAAAATGTGCGTGTCGTTTGACTCACAGTTCAGGGCTCATTTCATTGGAGGGCCTCTGACTGCCGCAAATTGCTTTAAATTGGCAGGGCACTTCTCATAACGAGCGATGTTTCAACATAATTTAATTGGGTCCCCTGCCAAGGAGGAAACTGCAATCCTGAAGCTTTTTGATGGTGTCACCCGGTCAGCGGTCATCTCTCGGCCTGCGGGCAGGTATGGATGAGCGTGGGGTGACTCAGATGGTCTGACCACCGCGATTTTAAAGACTTCCTCACCAAGCCCTGGGATATTTGTCCGACTTCTCCACCGTGGCGAGGAGCGAAGCTGCTGGGGTCTGGCAGTGGGATCGGCAAGCCCCCGCTCTGCTTTCCAGTAAGGCTGCTCAGCAGCTGGAGGAGACGGCCGCCGCTGCAAGACTTTTCGTCAACGTGCGTGTGACAGCAAAGACCCCTGGCTGGGCTGAGCCTTCCCGAGCTGTTAGCCATCTGTGTCTGGCTTGCGATGAAAAGGCGAGCAGAAATAGAAATTGCCTTTTTAGCTCTTTTTTTTAAGCTGGAAATGCACCTTGAGGAGCCCATAGGAAGCAACCGTGGCCAAAGCTTTTGCCAGCAGTATGCAGGGCAGGGAGGAGTTTCAGGACACAGAAACTGAAATTTAAATCTGCCTGGATCTGCTATTACTGTAATATTATGCTGTAGAAAACAAGAATGTGAAGACCGGGCAGGCACAGTGTGTTTCACAGAGCACTCACCCAAATGCTGATGCTGAGTATTGGACAACAAGCTTTGCCATGTCCTGGGTCCCGACGTGGTAGAAGTACGGATTATTTTAAAACGCCCCGGATTAAAAAGCAAAGTGAAGACTCATCCTGAGTCAGTTCAAATGTTTGATGATTAAGACCTAAAGATCCAAAAAGCTCCCTTCTGCCATCAACACATAACCCATTGTTGGTAATTTGCTTGATTTTTCACCACTCGGATTTTAGCTTTCCCCCTTTTAATCTGCAGCATGCCTTGCGGATGAAATAAATATTGCCAGGTAATGAAATCTCATTTTCTACTAAGGGACCGTTGCAGGTGACCCTGTGACGGTGATGTGACAGCTTTACTGGCTGCAAAACTAGCTCGCTGCTGTTTGGCATGGACAGACTCGCTCCATTTGTGCCGTATCTGAAGCGCTAGGACTGTGGTCTTGATTCGAGCGTATATCACATAGAATTTGCATGGAGTAGCATGCTAGGTAAGACACTCGGTGGGACCCGAGGCAATTAGGCTTTAATGCAAAGTGCGGTAGCGTTGCGATGGGCTTCTTCGCAGGCGGGACCGGGACCGTGCTCTCCACGGCTGCCAGGGACTGCAAGCTCTCCCAGTGCTCGGGTCTTGGCCCCCCCGTCTCGGCAGCGACTCCCAGCTCTGCTGGATGTCTCTGGTCGGTTCCAGGGGTCTAGCAAAATCCAGGAAGAGCCATGTCGAGACTCGCTGGAATGTGGATTAGTTTCATACGTGTCTCAGGGCAAGGATGGCCAGGAGAAAAGTTGAGATAGGGCTCTTGTGGCTCTCGGCAGGGGCTGCGAGCAATCTGTTCTTGGGGCCGGGGCTGCTCCCTGCTTCTGCACACACACACATTTAACAGTGAAGAGAAATCCAGCAAACCCCGAGCACTGGAGATTTAGCACTCCCGAAGCGTAGCCTGTAACTGATTGTGTCAGGAAGTACCATTCCCAATTTTGGGTGTCTGAAATGAGGATCGAAGGATTTCAGGTCTAATCCCGTGTCCTTGAGTAATGTTTCATTCATCGCCTTGAACTGAATTGCTGCAGCTGAGCAGCGTGAGTGCAGAATCCTCTTACCCTGTAGCTTTCCTCGCCGTATGACTTTACCTGTAAATAGAAATGGGCTATAATTAGATGTGGGGTTCGCATCTGCCCTGCGCTTGCAACAGGGAGCCTTAATTCAGCGTGAATGGAATTTCCTTGGGCATTCGTCGGGGAAGGAAGCACCAGACCCGTAACTGAGACCCTTCGCAGGGGACAGCCCTGACAACTCCTGCTCCCGTGCAATGCCAGAATGCATCAGTAGGAAAAAAAACCTGCGGTACTTCAGGCTCGTAAAGGAGATGTGTGATCTTTGTTTAGTTGGACTAGCTGAAAAAAAAAACCCTGAACTAATTTCCTCAAATTCTTCTATGTTTTCTGTCTTGTCAGTTCAGCAAACCAAAGGAGTTATAGTTGTTTTAAGGAGCTTCACAGCTATTGCAGGCAGTTGTAGTAGAGACGTATGTATGAGGGGAAAAGTGCATCCTGTAGACCAGCTGCTTTGGATTTGTATAAAAATCAAGGTTTGTGTATTTTGTGTGTCTGGGGAGGAAAAGACCAGTGAAGAGCAAATTCAGCTAACCTTACGTTTTTAAACCAAACAACTCCACTCCCTGCCCCAACCCCCATCCCCCATCTTTCTCAGCACAATGGTCTGGGGAGGTACGAAGGGAAATTTCTCACCGTGTCATCTGGAAAGTGTATGTTTTTTCAACAGGACATGGGGGCTCTCTTCCGACAAGAATCTGGAAAGTGAGATCAGTTGAATTTGTGTGTGTGCAAGCTCACCCTTAAGACATGAGTGCGTCTGATATTAAAGTTTTGGACTGGGCTGAAGCCCTGTATGCGTAAGAATAGCTAATGAGAACTTTAGGTGAGCTTGTTTTATGTCTCCTAGGCCATTAGGAGTAAAAAGGTCTTGACTGATACTGAGCATGAAAAAGCACAAAACAGAAAAGCTAGCTAGTTAATGGAAAAATTGAGCTAATTCCCCTTTGGACGGCAGTTTCGAGTCTTGTGTAAGTGGAGTGCAAGAGTAGGACTTTGTATGTTGAAAATAATTTCTGTAAAAGCAAAGAGAAGAGCCTTCCTTTCGGTCGTTGGTTCCCTGCAAAAACTACAGGAGGAAGCAATCCGTGTGCTTGCGCCGTGAAGAGCGAAACACTGTCATCTTGTCTGCAGGTTCTGCACACAGCAAATAGCTCAGCGATGACGTAGGTCACGCTTCGGTCTGGGGGATAAACTAGGAAATCCAGAAAGCGTCCATTGGGGCAGTAGAAGGTAACACTGTGGATGACTGCAGAAAACCAAACTTTATAGAAAGAAATGCCCTTTTCCATTACGGGCCCGTATTCTGCAAGGGTCTGAGCACCCGCTTTTAACTCCATGCGCTGGGAGCGGTTGGGCTTTATTGTACGTGAACTCCAGGGCATGTGTTTTTGCAGAGCGTCCCTGGGGAAGGTGATCTCCTGGTGGGCTAGAAATGAAGAAATGTTGTCGAGTGGCAGATGGTAATGGTTGTCATGGTCTTTCAGACTAACAGGGATGCCAAAGGAAAAATATGATCCTCCAGATCCTCGCAGAATTTACACCATCATGTCAGCAGAAGAGGTAGCCAACGGGAAGAAGTCGCACTGGGCTGAATTAGAGATCTCGGGTGAGTGGATTTGGGTTTGAATTTTGGTTTGGCGGAGTTGTTGGTGCCCCAGAATCGCACTAGGCGCTTTCAGATAGGGGGTCCTGTCGGGAAAACAGTTTTTCTGAGTTGGGGGAGGACAAGTAACTGCCTTACCAGATTGCCTTTGAGCTTGGCTGGCTCACGTTCAGCCTGGTTGATTTAAAACACCAACTCAGGTTGGACGTGCGTTTTTGGGTAGCACGTCTGCTTCGCCAGAACAGTGTCTCTGTCCTTTTAACTGGGAGGGTCAGGTAATTATTTAAAGTCTGCTCGTAGAAAAGATACACAAAGGTATCTTCTGTGAGCATCACTGAGTGTTCCAGTGAAGTGGTAGGGTTTCCACACTAGAAATCTCATATTCTGACACCCCCCCTAGTTTGTACCTGATGGTTTGAGAGTACAAACCTGACCGAAGAGGTGGTTCTTTGCTTTTCTTTTTTAGGTAGAGTGCGGAGCTTAAGTACGTCGCTTTGGTCGCTGACGCACTTGACTGCTCTGCACCTCAATGACAATAATCTTACTCGCATTCCACCTGATATTGCCAAGCTTCATAATCTGGTTTACCTGGATCTGTCATCCAACAAACTCAGAAGTTTACCAGCAGAACTAGGAAACATGGTATCTCTCAGGTGAGAGAAATTATTCTGGTTACCTTTTCAAAAATCTGTATTCTGGGATCAGGACCGAGAATTTTATTTTGCTTTCCATTCTTGTGTTTAAAATAATGCTGAAAAAGTCAAGATTGATTCTAATAATTGCTTTTGGGTTTGTTACCCTTCTTTTCTCATCTCTACAGATACAGGTATGTTAGCTACGTACTCTTCTGTTCGGAAACATTCTTTGAGAGTTGATGATTACCTGCTGTTTAAATTCTCCCCGATTTAATTTCATGGTTTGGGGGTTTTGTGGCTTTTTTTTTTCCCTAATGAAAGTATTTCATTCATGCTTTGAAATGGGAAGATTGGCATATCTTTCCATAATACAAAAAAAATTCAGGGTGAAAAGTGTCATCTTTGAAGATGAGCGGCATATAGTGCTTTAAGAGTTTTCTTCTGAAATGATACTCATCAAAAGTGTTTTTGCATTTGCTGCAGGGAATTGCTTTTAAATAACAATCTGTTACGGGTTTTGCCTTATGAACTTGGACGGCTCTTCCAGCTACAAACCCTAGGTTTGAAAGGTGAGCGAGTTCTTTACGGTTAAATATTCCTAGGAGTACTCTTGGATTACTGAGGGGGCTGGGCTCAAAAGCTTTGGGTATTACCTCAACATTTTCTTACAGTTTATTTGAGATAGTAAGCTTGTAGCAAAAATGACCAGCTGGTTTGTAAAACAATGCTTTTCTTTTTTAATGCTATTAATCTTCCTTACGAGCCTATTTCAAATCTGTAGATAGGTAAATAAACCCTTTAACCTGCTGTATTATTGATTGAGGTGAGTCGAAGGAAGAAAGCCTATGTGTGCTGGCTATTTCTATACTGTGGTATTCTACAGTTCCAAGTTAAGCAACTTAAATATCTTCTGAGTCAATTTGCCTGTTCTCATTATGGGAGATTTTCTTTGGTTGGAAAGCCTCGAGAAAGTCAGGCAGCTAATCACCCAGTTGTTGTTTTATGCTGTTGGCAGGCAATCCTTTATCACAAGATATTCTCAGCCTCTACCAGGATCCAGATGGAACTCGAAAGCTACTGAACTACATGCTTGACAATCTAGCAGGTGACAGCCCTACAAATGTGATTGACAGAAGTGGTTTAAAAGCATGCATTTCTGACAGTATTTGCTGCTAAAACAAGACTCTGAACCACTGAAGGGAGAGTATTTTCTAAACCACTTTTGCCTTTTTGTCAAGTGGTTCTGGTCGTACGCACAAACACGCGCTCGCACGCAGTGGAAGAGGTTGACGTACCTTGCCTAAGCTTTTCCCATGTTACAGCCAGTTGTTCCCACTGTGCTCTTTGGAACCCTTCAGTTACCAACAAAGTGCAAACCCTTCCTTGCTGAAGCCATTTTGATACTTTCCACTAGAAATTATAATCCAAATGCAAGCAGAATGTCAAATTTAGATCTAGAAATACCAAAGCAGTTAAGAATATCCAGTACCTGACTTAAATCCTGCTTCGTGGTTCTCTAACTGAGCTTTCTGTTTTGCCACTTGATGTCTACCGAGTTAAAACATCGCAGGAATGATGGATATGGGGTGAGGTCCCTGGAGAAGGGGAGTATAGGGTGTCCGAACCACTACAGGATTTACCCCTCCTTCTTCGGCAGTATATTCAAGGTGCAGGAGTATTTCGGTGGTACTTCTAGATTTGAAAGCAAGAGACAAAAATAGTCATGAATCTCACAACTGACAAATCTGCTCTCACTATAGCTAGCCATTTAAATGATTTTTCCCTCCCTTGGAGCATAAAAAGACTTGGGGAGTCGGGGTTGCAAAGCACAATATGGAACATTTATTGTTCAGTCATCATTTTGACTTAGAAATTGTAACTTACAAATATAAACCCTGAATTAATCATTGTTTTAAATGTTCTTTTTAGTTCATCCAGAGCAGCTGCCTCCAAGGCCATGGATTACTTTAAAAGAACGAGACCAAATTCTGCCCTCAGGTAAATCTGCGGTTCTTTTCCCTATGTTCACACAATGATGCGCTGACTTTTCTTTGGCTTTATTTTCAGAGAAATGTTCAGCCTTGCACGGATCAGACTGAAAATAGCAATTTATGTTCATCCGTACTAAAAGAATTAACATATGGCTGTGCTGTAAATATTATTTTTGTTATTTGAATGGGATGCCGGTCATTTTTATCCCATGTTAGGCTTTTTCATAACTCTTCCAGCCACTGATGCCCAAGCAAAGGAGCTTTTTTAAAAAAAATTGGTTTCGCAGAAACAGTAAGAACTGTAAAATAACTGCGTGTGTTCAAATGCCGTGTGCATGCACAGGCTGACTAAAGTGAGACTTTGCAAAGTCCCTGTCTACAAGCAAACCCGTGGAGTGCCTGGTACTGAAGTTAGTTTAATGCCCTCTATTGTTGCTTTTGATAAAGTGCAAGAGACAGCATTTCTTCAGGCTGTCCAAACCCAGTGGCTCTTCTTCCCCTGCGCATCCTGACCATAGCCCTCAAAAAGCATCCGTGAGCTTCTATAAAGAAGAAAAATGCTAATGTTGTTATTGCAGAAGATCGGATGAATAACCAGCAAGAATAACGTGGCAGTCCTCTACACTTTTTCTTTTTAGAAGCGTGAAGATGGCAGGTCTTCAAAACCTAACTCGGCCGTGTGTTGGGCAGGATAATATTGCAGTTACAATGGTCTGTCACTTTTTTAATATTAAAGAACAACAAACCAGAAAAAAAAAAAAGAATAAACAGGAAATGCCAAAAGTCCTGTAAGCCACCACAACATTAAGTTCTGCATTTCTGTTTCAAATTCCCTTACAAATTGGTATCTCAGTGGAGTTCTACGGCCTTTGGTTTTATTTTTTAAGTCAAACTTCCTGAGCAGAAACAGAATTTGGAAGTCATTAGAAAGCATAGTGTTAGGCGAGCGAGCTGTGGAGTATTTCATGGTAGAAACTGTAACGAGCCAATGGGTTGTTATTATAAAATCGTAACAACTGAACAGCGGCAATCTTCTTTGACTATGAGTATAAAACATACAGCTGTGGGGTAGCCCGTTAGGAAAACCTCACTCCTTTCCCTGCAAATAGGAGCAGTCTTTTCCCAGTGGTGTGGTGCTAGGATGTTGCATTCACCTGTCTTTTTTAATTGGTATAAAATCTAAGGGGGTTGAGAAGTTTGTGTGTGAAAGAAGTGTGTTTCAGGCTGATGAGCTGCACGCTGACTTCTCTCTTTTTTTAAAAAATTGCGACCAAATAACGTATTAGGTGCTTGTAAATTGATGACTTCATTTCTCCTTCTCTTCCCTGCCCTCACCCAGACCTCTCTCCCCACCTTGGACTTGACAGACACAGATACAACTTGATAAAACTTAGAAATGTTGTACAGGTGCTGGGAAAATTGTACAAATGTTTTGGAGACTGCCTAAACAGGAAGCGTTCTAAAGCAGCCTTTCTCTCCGATGCTATGGTATCGTGACAAACTAACAGCTTCTTTAGCAGCTTGGTTTTGCTTTTGCCGTAGACCTGTACAGGTCACTTACACCCGAGGTTGCTGTGTCAAGGCATCTCATGCAATAAATACTGGGGTTTGGCCCCATCACCAAAATGGCTGCTGCTTTCCCTCTCCTTACCCCCAAATCCAGAGAGACACTGTTTGGAATTGTGGCCGACCCCTAGGTCTCCCCCATCCTCAAAGTTAATAAAGAATTGACTGCAAAAGGGGATCGCGTTGCTTTGTTACGCACGTGACGCCGTCTCGTTTTGGTAGTAACGCTGATTTTTTTTCAGGAAGAGTTTAGCCTTGCAGGGTAACTGCTGGCTCAGCAGGGCCTTTTTTCGCTCCTGCTTATGAAACGCTCAGTGGAATAAGCCCACTGACTTGTGTGCAGTAGGCCCTCCAGAATAGACCGTGTAAGATTCAGTATTTTGGCTTGCATAAATCGAGCATTTGTAATCTTCAGAGGCTGATAACCTTTCCCTTTCCTTCTCTCCTTCCAGCTTCATTCACAGTTATGTGTTACAATGTGTTGTGTGATAAATACGCCACCCGGCAGCTCTACGGCTACTGCCCGTCTTGGGCGCTCAATTGGGAGTATAGAAAAAAGGGAATCATGGAAGAAATCGTCAACTGTGATGCAGATATCATTAGTCTTCAGGTAACTGGAAAATAACTGTATTCTTCATCAGAAGCAGAAAACCTTAACTTCCACCTTTAGAACAAAGTGCTCCCTTGAAAACACCGTATTTGCCTGCTCGCTGACAAATTCTGGGGCCAGCCAATGCAAGCTGTGTGCACAGCTCCTTATTTACGCATTGGCTTGTGTTTTATGAAATGAGACAGAGCGAATGAGATAAAATTAGCTAAATTAGTCGGTAGCTTGCATTGGAAGATCTGGGTCTTTTCCCCTTCAGATAAGCATCCTAAATATTCCCCCTCTGGGTGTATGGGGTTTACTGCAGAAGTGGACAAGGTAGGAGTTAAAGTCTCCAAAATACTTTCATTGGCAAACAAGGGGACTCTCATGCTCCAAGTTAAATATGGATTGGTACATGTCTCCTGCTATGTTATTAGAAATGTATTGCCGATGTTTAGAACAGTTGAACGCTTCTGCCTCTAAACTGATCTTTCGTTTTTTAAGCAAGTTCTGGTAGGCAAAAATCTCGCATGGAAAGAGAGTAGTCACCTTGGTCTGAAAACCTCACGAGATCAACTTCTGAAGTCCTCTTGGAGGCTACCACAAAGAAAACATGTTGTTACAGAACAGCGAGAGACCCTTGTGCAAAAGAGCTCTCCAGATTTAATTGCTGCTGGATATCTGTCACCCTCTCAGAAGTTTTAACCTAGGACGGTATCCGCATTCAGATGTCAAAAATACCAAGTGTAATCTATTGCTGTTCACAATACACCTGCCACTTTCCCTTTTGCGGGGGATTCCCCGTTAATCTAGGAGGTGACGTGATTTGTGCAAACAGAAGCTTGTCGCTTTGGTGAGAGCTGCTGACTGCGAGCCAAGGCAGGCCCAAGTCGCCATACAGCGATAGGAAGGGTTCACTTGACTTTGTTAGCCTAAGGTATTTGTGTTCAATTCCAGGAAGTGGAAACAGAGCAATACTTCACCCTTTTTCTGCCAGCCTTGAAAGAACGAGGGTACGATGGATTCTTTTCTCCAAAGTCACGTGCCAAAATCATGTCTGAGCAGGAGAAAAAGCATGTGGATGGCTGTGCAATATTCTTCAAAACTGAAAAGTAAGGGGCCAAAGCAGCTTTTCGAAAATACATTAAAACCCGCTTGATTTATGTCTGAACGCTTTCCTCTCTCGGGGTGCATGGGAACCCAAGTACCATGCTACAAAACATAAAGTTCAGTACAAAGAATGATCCTCCCTTCCCTTTTGCTGCTCTATTTGCAACAGAGTCCTTCCATTCCTTTCAGACTGTGAACAAAGATATCTCTTCAGAAACATGGAAGGTGCAGGAGAGCCACTATGATTAAAAATTTACATGCTTTATGTGTACATTCTAATAAATACCTCTCCTTCTCTCCAAACTTTTGCCTTGCTTGACGGAAGTTTCGCCCCTCTAAGATTAGTCTTTAAAGATCTATAAGCTGTGCTTCAGGTATGAAATCTTCAGATATTAAATAGGTATTACTGCCAAAGTATCACAGAATATTCTCTGCTTTTATGAATTGAAAATTGAGTCAAAAATTGCATATGTTATTGAATACCTGATCCAAAAAGTTCTGCTACGCTAAAAGCATTGATCTATTGGGAAGGGAGGAGAGGCGCCAGCATGCACGCTTCTCGTTTTTGTAAAGTGCTCACGGGAGTATCCCTCTGAATATTCCCTCAGAACAGTTTTCAGTAAGTAGAATGGGTGTTTAGCAAAGCATTAGCTCCTCTTCAGAGTTTTTGTTGCTTCCACAAACAAAAATATGCCTTTCAGATCATGTATAAAAACAACTGGGCTGGTTTTGAATAGAGGAAGTCTGTGAAAACAAAAAACCGGTGTTTTTCAAACCTTGATACTAACAAGGATATATACAGAACTGGTTATTATGCTGTGGCTCACTCAATTGAAAAACAGACCTCCCCCCTTTTATTTTGCTGTTAATACTACTTTTTTTTAATTTCTAAGAGAACAAAACAAACAAAGCTTTCAACAGGTAACTTTCAGTTTGACCCGAAGCAAGGGGTTTTCAGGCATCCTAAAGCTGGAGAGGAACGGAAAACCAATTTCACAAAAATGGTGGTAGCTAGTGGTTTGAAAGAAGCTGGGTTTTAATAATGCATTTGCCCAAAGTAGAAGGCAAGCCTTTAATTACCATCTCAAGTTTTTGCCTAGAACACTCCTGGGGAGGTGTGATAGCCTCTGAGCATTGCTCTGAATTGTCCTCTCAGAGCCCTAAGCTGAAACAAGTAAATGCTTCCTAAACCCCAGGTATCTCGTGTCCCCTGAGAGCATCTCACTTGTCAGACTTGAGACCTCTATTCTGACTGAGGGAATATTTTTTAGAACTGTTTTTACTTTCATGAAACAAGAGGACAAAAGAAATGTGCCTCACCCCGTCCTGCAGGCTCTCTCCTTGGACGTGGTAGACCGGAGTGCAGATAGAAACCACGTCTTCTCACGTAGCTATACATCACGGGTGTTCACACGCGATTCTCTCCATTTCATCAGATTTACGCTGGTGCAGAAGCATACAGTGGAGTTCAACCAGGTGGCAATGGCTAACTCTGAAGGTTCAGAAGCTATGTTAAACAGAGTGATGACGAAGGACAACATCGGAGTTGCCGTGGTGTTAGAGGTGCACAAAGAATTATTTGGAGCAAGTGAGTATGACCGTGGTTCTCTCATTGATTATTTAGTTCCACGTAAAGGCATGAGTTATTTGTCTGGTAATATGGCTCTCTGGAACATCACTGGCATTGGTGGTGGCAATCAAATACTTGCAGATGAGCAAGCGCTGTTCACTGCGCTAATTGAGAAGTGGTAGCCCATCGGTGGCCAAGACAGGACACAGGTGACGTGATTTCCTGGTCTGGTTGCACTCGCAGCCAGATGCCCAGCATTTAGCTTTCTCCTTTCGAGCTTTTGTCCCTGCTTACGTATTCTGTTAAATTCTACTTGAAGAATTAAGCTTTTCCAAGGTCAGTGCACATACACGCATATGGCCTGACCAGTATTTGTCAGTAACATTCAACTTCTCTTTTCAAATCTCTTTTTTTTGCCCCTTGATTAAATCCTTCCATCCTCCCCCAGAGACCGTATGACAGTGCTAATGTACTGATGTGGAAGAATGAGATTATCAGGTACCTTTTCATGCCACTTGATTGACCGACAGTCACATTTTTCGTTAAGTTTGATCAGATAGACAATTTCAACATACTTAAAATCGCCACCTTGCTCTCTCTGCGTGTCCATTTTTTTGATCGCTTGTTCTCAGGGTACCCTTCAAAGGAGCAGAATGTCTAAATTGCAGGACTGGAAGGAGCCGCCTGTGACTTTATGCCCCATCTTTCAGAGCACTGTTTCTCAGATAAATAGTAAGAACAGCTGTAGCGTTTTGCAGCAGCCAAGTTCCTACTGCATTCGTTTCAGCAGGTTTGAGTTTTTCCCCCCCAGGGGAACAATTTATCATACCGTGGCAGCTAAGAGTCAGGAAGCTCCCTTGTGCCTTAAATACTGAATAGTGGTGCACGGTCAGGTGATGATCACTTGAGCAATAGAGAAGGAATGAAACTGATAACGGTATCAGGTTCTGCTGGCTATTTCTTTCCTATATTGGGGAGATTTCACCACTTAATATAAATGCTGCTAATTGAGAAAGGAGTAGTGGTGCAGGTAATGCCTTTTCTCCAGCAGCAAAAGTACATCCATCTGTGTCTGACTTGGCCTCCTTAGCAGCTAGACCCTGAATGTTAACGGGGGGGACCTGCTGCATTCGCACAGTCAGCCTCTTGCTGATAAAAACGTGTTTGTTTATCTAGGTATGAAATCGCTTCATGTGGACAAACAGCTGCTCATTGTGGCCAATGCCCACATGCACTGGGACCCCGAATATTCAGATGTGAAACTCATTCAGACTATGATGTTTGTCTCGGAACTGAAAAATATCCTTGAGAAAGCCTCAGGCAGGCCCGGTAGCCCAACAGCAGATCCTAACTCTATCCCTCTGGTGCTCTGTGCGGATCTCAACTCATTGCCTGATTCAGGTAAGACTGGTTTGGGCTTAATTTTTCACTTACCTTTTTAGAACGTTTGAATCCTCTTTTCCTCCGAGGGCGATGGGGTGGTTTGCGCTTCCCTGGGTAGGTATGGATGAAACCTTTTTAGTAACAGTTGTCTTTGGAAATCTGGCTGAAGGGAATGCAAGTCCTCGGGTTGAGCAGGCTGCTTTTCGTGGTCAGTTGTACTCTCCAGAAAAGTTGGTTGCACCTACAGAGATGTAGAAAAGCACAAATAGATCTTAAATAAATCATTAAATAAATACCCATGCCCCCAGCATCTGTAATAAGTAGGAAAGACACGAGTTCGTGGTGGAACATGAAAATTTTCTAAGGAGACGGGTTTGAGAGCCTCAGTTCCCTGGCGGAGTGCCAGAAAGGCGTATACGGCTCCGACGTGGACGAGACCGCTAGATTTCCCCTTAAGATGGAAAGCTCTTCTCCAGTCTCACGGGGCGTCTTGCTGGTGTTTTGGTTTTTAACTCCGAGGCCAACATTCCCCGAGCGTTGTATTTTAAAGCAACTCCCTGAATCCTTTCCTTTGCAAACAGGTGTAGTGGAATACTTAAGCAATGGCATAGTAGCTGACAACCACAAGGACTTCAAGGAGTTGCGTTATAACGAGTGTCTCATGAACTTCAGTGGCAATGGAAAAAACGGGGCTTCTGAAGGAAGAATTACGCATGGCTTCCAACTCAAGAGCGCCTACGAAAACAACTTGATGCCTTACACCAATTACACTTTTGATTTCAAAGTAAGCAGCGATTTTTCTGAAATGGCAGACATTGACCTGGTCTCCCCAGGATGCTGTCTTAATTTTCTGAGCATTGGCTATCTTTCTCTTTGTTCCTGTAACTGCTTCATCACTGGTTCCTACACTCGCTGGACGCTTTCCTACCGCACACAAATCCTTGATTTGCTGGTGTTTTTATGCTTCCGACCTGGCTCTGGCCAGTGACTTAATGAGAACGGATGCGGCGCTTTGAACGCAAAACGCCGCGCGCGTTTCGTACCCTAATTCCAGCGCTGTGCCTCTTCCTGTGAATCGCAGCCAGAAGCCAGCCGAGTTCAGGTTGCCAGGAGCGAGGTCTGTTCTCACTGTCGTGTTTCTCTTTCTCCCCTAGGGTGTGATTGACTACATTTTCTATTCCAACACTCACATGAACGTGCTTGGTGTCCTGGGGCCTTTGGACCCTCAGTGGCTGGTTGACAACAACATCACTGGGTGTCCACACCCTCACATCCCTTCAGACCACTTCTCACTGTTAACACAACTCGAACTCCATCCTCCGCTCCTGCCTCTTGTCAACGGTGTGCACTTGCCTAACAGGAGGTAGTGGAGCCCTGCCCCTTTGAGGGCGAGGACCTGTTGTTATGGACCTGTACAGTTGTAAATCAAAGTATATAGGAGTGAAGTATGGCCAACCTTAAGCTGCTTCTTCAAGCTCCTTTCCTTATGTGTTTGATATGAGATTTTGCACATTTTGGTGCATATTGGTATCATTTGGCACTAGGGCTGGAACCAAAGTATTATTCCCTTTCCAGGTTTTTAATTTAATTTTTTTTTTTTTTTTAAAAAAAAAAAAAAAAACTGGCAAGCTTTTTCTTTTCAGTAGGAAGCTGCACCTATAAATGGACAAAGGAGATTAAAAACTTGCTTATTAACATATTTCAAGATAATGCTTTTTTCCAGAACGTGGCGAAATGAGCCAACCTTTTAGGAGAAAGAAAAACAAAAATAGAAATGCTTGGTTTGTAGGAAGAATATTAGAAATGCTGTTTGTTTGAACCCAAAACGGAGACTGAACTCTGCATCCAAAATAAATTTTGCACATTAGCAAAGCACTTAATACCTGACTATAAATGATTAGCAGTGTGGCCCTGCCCCTTGTCTAACTAATAGTAGAAAACCAAAGATGGGTTAATATCTCTGATAAAATTTGAGGTCTAAATTCTCCTGATGTGATTTCATTTACAACAAAATTCCCAGCGAAGCTGCATCTCCCGAGACTTTGCAGGTGAGCGTTTAATGCTGTGTACGCATCTCTTGCTCGGCAGACGCCGCGCTGTCTTTTTTTTTTTTTTTCGGAGCTCTGAAGAACTTGCTCCTGTCTGGGCGAGGTAGGCAGGGATCCGAAGGTCCTCTGTGAAACAGAGCTGCCTCTCTGCTTCGGCACGCCGGGGCGACAGGCTCTTCCGCGGCACGGTCTGGGAGCAGCACTTAGGAAATGGTAAGAAAGTGCCGTTGCAAGCGTTTGGGTTCCGGGTGAATCAAGAAGTCGCAAATCCGTCCTAGGTTCCCTTTCCCGAAGTTGGGTTGCAAAGATGGGAAAACTTGGGATGAAAGGCTTAAGCGCAGGGTACAGGAAAAACCCGCTGGAAATGACCTTACTTCGGTCTCCGAAGGGCATGCGCGGTAGCTGTCGGCATGCCTTTTTCACCGGGGGAGCAAGCGGTGCCCGTAATCATTCCTTGGATTATTTTTCCTGACCCTAGTTGCCAAATAACCATCACACTTTTTTGATAATCTTTCGTTTCTGTTGTCGGTCAGGGTCGAATTAAAAAGCTGCTGGTTCATTCCCAACTGTTAATGCTCTTTGGATGTCTTGGAAATCCTTCTTTTTTTTTTTTTTTTTCCTTCTTTTTATGCTCTAGGTGGCCAGTTCGAAACCTTGTGCCTCAAAAGGCATTAAACATAATGCAATTTTCTGAAAAAATTGGTTGGCTGCTTAATGTTTAAAAAAAAAAAAAAAAATGGCACAGTGATAGGAAAAGGTTGTGTCTGTGTTTTTAAGTTTTTCTTTATTCTGCTTTTTTGCTGCTATAAGATTTTTTCTTGAATTTATATTTTAAACTTTTCATGCACTTTACTGTTTCTAGTCTCAAAATGTGATATTTTTAATAAATGAAAAAATTTTCCATTATGTGAATGAAATTTTTAAACAGAACTATAGCCTATATTTATGTCTCATTCGTATACTTACAAAAGTCAAATTTAAATTGTGAAATTAGTTTTAAATACTAAGGAGCCATCTTCTGTCTTGCAAAACCGCTAAGTCAGGCCGTTCCTCTACTCTTTAATTAAAAACATTTCCTTTTTCGTTTTATACATAGGAAATTATCCGGGGGGGGCAATCGCTTCAACGAAATGACAACTCCCTTTTTAAAGAAGTGCCTAAAAAACGGAGGCGTCATCTCTTGTCCGCCCGAAATTGGAAGCGATCATAGCCGGGTGAAATTCCTGTATGGCAACTGCTTTGTGCAGCACCAAAAAGAGAAAAAAAAAGAAAAAAAAAAAAAAAAAAGCCCTTTCTAAAGACGGATTTTCCTCTAGGCGCAGGTATCTCTTTTTTAACGTACCTCAGCGTTGGACGCCTCGATTTGAGAGTATAGTACTGGAAAGTAGAATAGCATGAAAAACTTAATTTTGTGGACATTACCTTTCTGTAATCAGCTGCTGTATCTTTTTTTTGGAGGGGGGGGTGCTCGGCTCTGGAGGTGTGCACTAACAAATCCTTCTCCTCCTTTTCCTCCACGCATGTTAACGAGCAACGTGAGCAATATTTCCTACCATACTTCACTCCCGATATTTTTTGAGCTGTTTGTATAAAATGGAATTTAAAATTCACCTACGATTGTATATGAACTGCAGAGGAGCCCGTTTATTAATAAAAATAAAACCCGACAACAATCTTTTGTAATATCGGGGTGGGAGAGGACGGGGATGGAAAAAAAAACAAAAACAAAAACAACAAAACAAAGCCAAACAAACCCGGCAACCATTGTAAACCGCTGACGTTTGACTTGCCTTTGGTTTCTAACCCACTGAAGTGTTCAGCTGTTGCGGGAAGGTGTTCAATTGGATTTTCTCTGCTGCGAAACGCACTTCCAAACTTCCATTCCGCTGTGCGATTTTTTTAAGGGGGGAGGGAAAAAAAAAAAAGTTATTTTAACAGACATTGCACAAAACCTCTGGATTTTAAAAAAAAAAAAAAAAAAAAAAAAAGTAGTCTTGTTTATGTTTCAGTCGATGCACATAACCGGGGATACCTTTACCCGCCTGTCACTTGTCTGGCTCCCTCCCCGTTTTCCTTCTGTTGTTTTTCCCTTCCCGGCAGGAGCAGGGAGGGGACTGTGCTTTTTTTCCCAGCCGAGCAGAGAAGCCTCTCTCCGTAGCAATTTTCTGCTGTAAGAAGAGGGGGAGCGGGGAGCCGGCAGCCTCCTGCGCAGGACGACGAGGTCCCTGTCGGAGAACATATGCATCGTCCAGATGGCGATGCTGATTTTCTTTTGACCCAGATGGAAGCCGACGGTCGAGTGTTTTCTAGGGGAGAGGGAGTAAAACGAAGCGAAATATCCCTAACCCTAAACAGGGAAGGATGGGAAACCTTCAGCTCCCTCCGTCCCCAGCCCTCGGTTCCCCACACGTCACAGTGCCCTCGCCTGGGAAAAAAAGCTCCGAGTCCTTTCCTGCTCCTCGCTGTCTTGGTTTGCTTTCAAAAATACGGTGCCTGGTGTCAACTTCTAAGCAACAGCACTGCCTAAAGCAAGCAGAGAAAAAAAAATCCAACACCCTTCTACAAGCAACTTTTTAAAATTCAGTATGGTAAATCTGTTAGATACGGGGATTTGTGTGTGTGTGTGTATATATATATATATAAAAAAAAATTTTGTACGATGTAGCTGAATATTTTTGTTCCCTTATTTCAACGTAGGGAGCGTGAGCACTTGCGTACCACATGCTAAAGTCAGGTATGGCACGACGGGGCCCAAGACCAGCTTTCCTTCCCATTTGCCTCGTTAAAAGCATTTCTCATCTCTTTCTAGCATCTGTTGTGAAAATATTTCATGTTATCAGTGAGCTTCCTCCGTCTGTTGGAAGCCCCTCCTGTTTAGCCTGCAGACACATTCAGAAAAGGCCTCATTAGTCCCAAGTCCGCGCAGTTCTCTGGTTTATAGACTAGAAAGCCAAAATCTTTGACTCTCAACCTTTTCGGAAGCACTTGCCGCTGACCTAACCCAGCTTTCAAAACCGTGCGGTGATCTGCAGTGTTGGGGTAACTGCGGATGGCCAACGGCCTCCCACCTTGCTGGCTTTACTGCGGAGACTCCTAAATCCACCTTCACGCTCTCGAACTCCCAAGGCCCACTTTACAAAGATGCTGAGCATCTGCACCTCCCACTTAATCCCGAATATCAGGCTTCTGTAGACCGGCTTTTCCGCACCCGGCTTGTAGGACGTCGGGTCCGAACCATGGGTGAGGATTTGAGACCTCAGAGGTTCATATCACTTGTTACCCTGGGGTTTGGTTTTGGTGAGGCAGCGGGGGGGGAAGCCGAAAGGGCTGGTTGAAATCCAGAGCTTCTCTGTTAATTCAGAAGACAGGTTGGGGAAACGCTTTAAGGATTCCTAGAGCAGGAGCACAGCGTTTGCGCCTTCTCCATAGGGAGTAGGGGCCAGAGGCGGCCGCCATCCCTTATCATCTGAACACCAGATTTTAACCCAAGCAACGCCGCAAGCAGTTGCTTCGTTTCCACCACGCGTTTTCAGCTTCTAGCATCAAAACCTTCCTTGGGAGTGAAATTTGGCATAGCGGGGCGGGGCGAAAGGTGGATGGTTGAGTCCCATCCAAACCAAATCAATACCGCACCATCGTGATAGGCACCCTCGTACCGGTTTAGAAGGGAGTTTGGTCACAAACAGGAGGTGTCCTCTCCCCACCAACCTCAGCGTTGTACCTAATTATGGTTCCTCTGTTCTTAGCTTCTGCGTAGATTTTCTTTTTCTTGCAATGGTAACGAGGATCTAAGGCCCGATCCAAACCTAAAGAAGGACTCTCTCACCCTGGTCTGGGGAGATGACCGGTCTAAGCTCATCCTTACCTGGCACGCCGGTACCCGAGGCAGCAGCAGGAGGTGGTTCAGCTGCAATCAGGCTGTCAGCACAAAAAAGCAACGGGTCCTGGTCCTACTTGGTCGCCGTTGAGGTGTGACGTTCCTCTGGGGAGTCTTCGCAACCAAAACTGCCCGGTGGGAAGCAAAGCAGCGTACGAGACTCAAAGAAGTTCGCATCGGCTTCGGAAGCGGTGCGGTTTCGGCACCGAGCATGCACATTAAAAAAATCCTCGCCTGCCTAATTTCACGTGCCCCAAAAGGACCTGAAGTGCTTGGTTTTGGAGGGGTTTGACTCAGGGGGGCAGAGGACCTGGTTTGTAAGAGACCTGGAAAAGAAATGAGCCCCAGATGCAGAGAAATTTGGGTTTTTCTGATAGACCCTGTTATCAGCTGAGTCCCTCCGTCTCCTCGTGAGGAAAAGCACCTTGTGATGGGCAGCTCGACGGTGCTTTATAAGGTTACAGAATTATAGTCACATACCCTCCCTTTCTCGCTCTTCAGTCTTCAAAGGTGACGCAAACCCCAAGAGAACCTGGTGGAAAACGCTCATCTCTTAAGTCTCTACACCAAGCATTAGCCAAGAACTCACTTTAAGATTAAAAACCGTTTTAGGAGGAGAAGATAAGGCTCCGGATGCGGGCACAGCTCTAAGTGAGACAGCTCCTTCTCCTTCTTGCACTGACACCAACCACAGGTTCACTTTTCCTCCGGGACACGAGAGCAGGGACAAAAGCCAGAGCAGATGAGGCAGGCGCAGGCATCGCACGGTCCAAAAAGGGACAAAATGAACACCTTGCAAGAGCCCCCTCATCCCAAGAACAGCGATTTGGTGCTGTGAGAGGTATTCAGAGGCGACAAAGCTCCCTGGTTTGGCTGTTTGGGGATGATGGGCTTCGGGAGCGCAGTTTCCTGGAGCGTATCAGAAAATAAGCATGAAGATCATAGAATCACTTTGGTTGGAAAAGCCCTTTGAGATCATCGAGTCCAACCGTTAACCTAACCCTGCCATCCCACCACTAAACCCTGGCCCTAAGCACCTCATCTACCCTTTTTTTAAATACCTGCAGGGATGAGGACTCTACCACCTCCCTGGGCAGCCCCTTCCAGAGCCTGACAGCCCTTTTGGTGAAGATGGAGAACTGCTGGGGTACTTGAGGGTGTTTTAGACCACGTTGATGGCAAGGTGCGCCAAGCGATAGGACTCTTGCTCTTTTTTCCCTCCCCCCCCGCAGTCCCACGGATGTTGAGCGTGCAAAACCTCCCACCATTGGGGCGGTGAAGGTTCGAGTGAGGCTGGGACGTGGTCTTGTCCTCTTTGTTAAACAGTTCCTACAATTTAGGCATTTACTGAGGTTGCATTTGTCTTTGTTCCAAAGCAAAAAAAAAAAAACAAAACCCAACAAACCCAACCAAAAAAACCCAAACCACACCCTCGTGGTGGCTTTCTTTACAGGTGAGATGTTACAGGACTTTGGCTTTGTTTCCCTTTTTTAATTACCGCGTCGCGTGTTTTGCTTTCTGAGCAATTAAAAGTGTTTGTGTGCACCACGTTAGCTAAATATGCCCTTGATTCCTAAACTCACAGCCTGGGCTCTGCCTCCCCCTCCCCCGGTCGCTATTTTGGGAGGTTGGGGCTTTTTTTTTTTTTTCAGTTGGATTTCTTTCTTGTGCGTTGTCTTTGCGACC